AAATTGTTATTTTTCTCTTTACATTATTCCTAATTCTAAAAAATATACAAAAAGAGACAATTATAGACATCTAATTTTATTCAAACATGTTCTAATTAATTTTGATATTTTAAAATTAAAACTCAGGTCTTTTCCAAAATGTTTTATGCTTTACAAATATTCCAAGTTTTTCCAATATGTTGATTTTTAGTTTTAAGGTAAGAAAAGTAAAAAAAAAAAAGTCAAAAGTTAACCCTAAAGTCAACTTAGTCAAACTTGATCAAACTCATATTTTTTAGACAAAAATCAAAGGAAAATTTTTAAAATTATTTGAAATCGAAACCGTTGGTCAACTTACGTGTTAAAGGTTTGAAAATACTTTAATCAAATTTTTTGGTCAAATCCATGTCAAACATGGTCAAACCTAAGCTCTTTTGGTCAAATTTGGTCATACGGTAGAGTTTTGAAAGAAATTAACTAGGAAAGCTTTGGATTTTGAACAAATCTTGGATTTTGATAAAATGCCCCTTTTTGAAACTCAAGTCCAAATTGGCCAAACTCAGGTCAACTTGGTCAAACCTAGGTCAAAACTAAAATATTTAGAAGAAATTCAATAAAAAAACTTTAAATTTAATCAAAAATTGAATCTTGGACCAAAATGCCTTTTGGTCGAACTAGGGTCAAACTTGATCAAACCCAAGTCATCTATTGAAAATTGTATTGATTGGGACTATTAAGGCTTAAAATTAATAAAAATATAAATTAGGATCTCAAAAATCGAAGTTCGACTCTAGTAGCACCACAAAGGTCAAAAAATGAACTTTAAGAGCATTCTCGTAAATTTTGTCAAAATGAGTTTGAATTTTATGTGTGAGCGCAAATTTAAGTTTAAAGACCCTATTATCATTTTTCAGCATAATAAAACCAAGGGATCAATATTAGAACTAAAAATCAAAAGAAAAACTTGAAAATGCCTAATTTGTTCAAGGAAGGCAAATTCGTAATTTTACATTGCATGATGGGACAGCTTCATATATGGCTAAGAAATTGTGCAGTGATTAATGTGAACTATCAAATTTTATAGTACAATGTTCCTAAGGTCTATATTACATACTAGCTCACCAAGTTTGGTAAGAAAAAGACAAAAAACTTAGTACACATAGACAAGGCTTAATCCAATGAATTTCATGAGAAGAAAATGTCTTTAAATAAACATTTTAAGGCTAAAAATGGGAGCTTTTTGGAAGAGAGAAAGTGGTAGTAATCACAAAAAAAGGAAGAAAAAATACGAACAAACTTGGAAATAGCTTTTTTTTTTTCTTTTATGTATTCTTTCATGCACTTTTCATTCACATAACAAGTAATCCTTGCTTTTCTTTGATTTCTTTAAAGGAGAAACATCCTTTTCTATGGTTGATTTCTTTTAAAACTTTTCTTCATCCATCATCTCATCCTATAAAGATGAAATGAAATCATAAAACATCAAAAGGGTACATTGAAAATTTTCGGCCAAAAGATTTTCCACCATGGCTGAAACTCTATTTCCTACTTGTCATGATCCTTAAGCTTTGATTCTTGGTTTTCATTTGTTTGTGAGGATTGGGATTTTGTATTGAAATGTTTTTCTATCTTGTGATCCTTGGTGATGTATATTGGTGGATGAAAATGGTTTCTATTTAGGTAGTTTGTTATGTGTTTGATAAATGTTTTTGTTAATAAAAATAGTTTGTTAAAAATATTTTCTAAGTGTTTGACAAAATTTTTCAAAACAAAAAGAAAAATGTTTTAAATAAGTTTTCTAAGTGTTTAATGAAAATTTTCTAAATAAAAAGTTGTTTTTTAGGTGCTTGATGAAATAAAAATGTGCCTTGATGGAATGGTGTCTAATGTTTGATGAAAGGATTTATGTGCTTGATTTTAAAGATTGCTAAGTGTTTGTTAGTTTGTTCATGTCATGTTAATCATGTTAGAGTAATGTCATGCATCATGATAGATCAATTTCATGCATTAGCTCAATTCTAGCACAATCATCCTCATTGCTTGGTTACATCTTCCTTTGTAAACATTTATTTTTGAATTTGAAAATTATTTTGAAATTTGATGTAACATTTTGGATTAAGTCCCTTTCTCAAAACTATAAATGAATTATTTTGATCAAATGAATTTTGGGATAAAATCAATCCATTTTCAAAGTTAAAGAAATCAAAATTTTTAAAATTAAGACAAAAAGATAAATCCCTTCATCAAAGGATTGATCCCTTTTGGTTTTTACCAAATGATTGATCCCCTCTTTCAAAGGATCAATCCTTTCTAAAACATAGTACTCTTTCAATTTTGAAAATCAATCCCTTAGTGAAGCAAAAGGATCAATTCCAAATTTTGAAGTTTTCAATGGTTATTTTTCACTTTGATTAGAAGTCATATTCCACTATAAAAGTGAGTTTCCAACACCTTCCAAGAACAAAAGATACCATTCAAGAGATTTGAAAGTTGATATTCCTCATTTCAAGAGTGCTCTAAGTATTACTAACTTCAAACCTTATTCTTTGTATTCATTGAGATCTTTTCATTATATTATCTCTTCAATATTGTACCTAAACTTAACAAGCATCTATTTATTAGAGGTTTCTATTAGTTTTCAAAAGTCTTAGTTAAGGGGATTTATAAGTCAAGGGGAGTGAGACCTTTGAATGAATTGTATTAGGATTTAGGTAGAAATCTTAAAAGGATAAAGATTGCGACCTGAAAGGTAAGGATTGTAAAGGTTATAACTAAACTTAAAAAAAGTAACTTGTAAAGATTGAAAGATATAGTGGATTAAGTTCTTTGATAAAGAAAACTAAGAAAATTGACTTAGGTGCTTTGAGGAAGAATCAAACTTTTATAAATTATTATGTTTGAATTATCTATCTCTTAGAACTCTATTAATTGTGCTTAAAATTTTATACATATTTATTAAATTATTTATTTCTCACTCGTATTAATTCAAATTTTATTTTGAGAAAGAATTTAAAATAAATCCAATTTACTGCATATATGTACTTAAGTTAACAAATATGAATTCTCCTTAAAAATAAGCCACTTATCTTTTAAACTGACCACCATGTGGCAATAAAAGAAATGAATAGTTGAGATTTAGCAACTACTTTTTCTAATTGTTTGTCTTCTTTTGTTAAAAGGGGCAAATACTCTAGCTCATAGAGGTTTGTTTTAAGAATTGCTAGCTACATCACTCCCTACTTCCCTTTGTAATTTGAATGTTTACTCCATTTTAATGCATTTTCTTTTCTCCAAAATAATAGTAATAATAATAATAATAATAATAAAAAGCACTTTTGTTTTCATCTTTGATGGTTCTTTATTTAAACATAAATGTTGATAAAAAACTCTTTTCTTTCTTTTTACTTTAAAAAAAAAAAATAGATTTTCCATTTAAAATTAAATTAGAAGTTTTTTTTTAAAAAAAAATTATAAAATATACTAATAATGAAATTTTTAATTTTACAAGCAAGATTAAGATTATGATACATGTTGCTTAGTGTATATTTAAAGAAATTTAAAAAGTTAATTTTTTAAAAAAATTAACATGTGCCACTATCTTAATTTTATTTATGAAATTAAAAAAACTTCATTATGTATCAAATAATTTTTTCTTTTTTTTTTTCTCCTTATTTCACAATTAGAGATTTGACATGGCTATGAACTAGGCCAATATGTTATGGCTGCTAAGCCTGTTGTTTGTCATTTTTAAAAGGGAGGTTTTTATTTACACTCATTTTTTTATTTTTCATTTTTTAAAATTTATTTTTAAATAAAATTATTTAATTACTCTTTTTTTACACCGTTTTCAAATTACTTATCTGGAAGTTTAAAAATTTCTATCTCAAATAGTTGAAATTTGAAGAAATTTAAAAACCTAGATGCATAGGTTTTTTTTTTATCAATTTGTAAATGAATTTATAATTATATGAAATAATTAGTGCTTTTTTTACCACAGTAGTGAAAAATCTTCAAGATATTTTTTCTTGACTGAATTTTTATTCAAACTCTAAATGCAATTTTTTTTAACTTATCAGATATAAAAATTAAATAAATTATATAACTTACCAAATTTTTATAGTGGGTAAGTTATAAAATTTAAAAAAGATATATATTAAAAAACTTTAAAATTGAGACGAGAAAGATAATTAAATAATTTTTTAAAGAAAATTTTGAAAAAAAAAATAGTCAGAGTATGAAAAGAAAAAATAAGTGTGTTTAAAACCTTAAGTCGAATTCAATTCAGAAGCAACCCACCAACTTACAAAATATATTATCATTAAAATAAAAAACATATATTTTTAAATTAATACTTTAACAGTTATAAATATATTTTAAAATTAAAAAATTAAAGTTAAACAAAATCTTAATTATTAAAAAATAATCTAATCAAACCAAGCAGACCAAACTTTGACCAAAAAAATTAGTCCGTCATTCCCTGTTAAAATGTCCTAAAACTAATTTATTTTAACACCTAATTCTTTGACTTTACATTTTTTAAATTATTTTTCATATTCTTTTCTTTTAAACATTAAAAATTATAACAAATCAATTTTATAAATAAAATTTTGATTTTAATATAAAATATATATAAAAGTTTAAAACTTTTTTTTAAACTCTGTAAAAATACAAAAATGGGATGGAAGGAGTAAAACCTATGCTGACCCATCCACCCAAGCAAGCTTTTAAGAGGCAGAAAAATTTTCCTTTTAACACTTCCAAAATTTTTCATGGAACATCTTTTTCATTAACAAAATTAATAAATTCATAAATAAATTTTTATATATATCATAAGTGAACACACCAAAAAAAAAAAAAAATTAAGATCAGCGCTGCTGGCTATCCAGCCCTTGAACTGGTATTATACATCAGTCAAAAACATGGACTTTTCTACTCGTATGTACATAACGTTCCTTGTTTCTGACGATTGCAGCTCGTCGGCCCATATGCGTGGTGTCATGTTATCAATGCAATGGAGAAAATACTACATAAATATATATGCTTAAGGTTTAATAGTATAAAGGGGACTGAAACAAATTACAGTCTGAAATTTACGTATCGAACAATTTCAGAACCCATACATAAAGAAAAGATTAAAATGAAAACAATCATCGTTACATGACAGAGCAAAGCAAACATAATATTATGGCTTATTTTGTGGATGCCCAGTTTTCTTGGTCTTCTTTTCACATTATTACCTTTTATCTCAAACTCATCACAAGCCATGGATTAACCCCAATGGTGGGTAGCGAAGGCCGTATGATTGGGACACGTCTTACAACTGAAAATGCTTCGTTGAGACGAGCAGCATGAGTCATGAACTGAGACACCTTCTGCAAATACAAGTTAGCAAAAGAACAAAATGTTAGATGTGTATCAGTAGTCAACCCTAGCGATATTTTCTAAAAATATTTACATTTATTCCAACACAAAAACATATGGTATTATTTTTTTGTTAAAAGCATATGGATCATTATATTCACTGCATCTCAAATGCAACAAGTAAAAATGAAAAACAAACGATATACAAATAAAGGTGCAAAACAAAGAGAAGTAGAACAAGACCCAAATACAAGAAAAACTCAATGCTCGAAAATAAATGGGGCTAAGATTTTTAATTATAAAAGCATAAACCTGTTTCTAACCCAGATGAACCATGTGAATATACCACTATCAAATAAAACACTCAATAAAAAATTCAATTTTCAAAAGTCAGTGAAAATCTCAAAATATCCAAAATAGAACACTAAATAATCCAAATCTCAACATCTCATAATTGAAAGCAAACTAGAAAGTGAAATAACACATTTGCTTATAGCTTAAACTGTAAACCATAATTTTAATGCAAAATAAGTAATAAATCTGAAACCCAAATAATTAGGACATATGTAATACTCTATTCATGTAAAATAGCCTAAAAAAATCTAGAACATCATGCATCCAAATAAAAATTACTATTGAACAATTAAAATATAATGAAGACGCAATGAAAATCTTAAACAATTTAAACTCTGAAACAGATTCTTTCAAAGCTATATTAATTACCTCTGAATGTTTCTGTGGATTCCAGTCTGGAATGCAATCTTTGTTTGTAAAATGTTAAAATCTTTTTTTGCAATGATAGGGAGTTTTTGTTTTGTGGGACTAAATCAAACATTCTATTATTAATGTCATCGTGCTTGTTGATACCATAGATGTGAATAAATATTCAAAAGGATTGACTGCTTTTGAAACTAATTAATTCATAAAAGAACAAAGAATTTAGCCATAGAAGAAAAAACTAAATTCATAGATAAATAGTTATGAAAATCTGTTTTTTTGCAATGCAGTAACATTTTTTCCTTAAACCCAGGAATAATGATTCCTTTCAATATCAAACACAAAATAACAGGGACAGGTTGTAGTGAGTAGGATAGAGAGTCCATTTAATTAGCAAAGGTGACATCCAGGAAGTCATTTTCTGTTTTCCAAAAATATGGCATGCCAAAAGTATATTGATCAACTACAAAAGTTTTCCAAGCAAAAAAAAAAAAAAACTAAAAAAAAAGAAAAGGAAAGCAACTCTGACAATTTAACTTGGGAAGTTGTTTTGAGAGGTCAATCTTGCCATGAGGACCCAATTTTATTCTGTCTATCACTAACCCTTGCCTTCCTCAGTCTCTATCTCTCTCTCAAACTCCCAAAATTTTACTTGGGAAGTATAATTTTACAGGTAAATCTTACCATGCATGCCCAATTTTATTCTCTCTATCACTGAGCCTGGCCTTCCTCACTCAGCGGCTCTCTCTCTCTCAAACTCTCCCATTACAGCCACCGGGGGAAATGGATGCATCATCATTCGTCAATGGCGCTACCAAGATGATCCATTTAAATATGGACCAAATTCTAATTGCCAATCACCAGATTTTCCTGACCGAAACCAAAATTTTCTTGATCTGCTATAGATACTTAATTATCCAATGTACTTTAGATATTGATTATGTGTACTTTCAAGCTGATAAACGAGTTGGCTACAATTCGACTATCAGCTAAATAGTCTAGGTCCAATTTAATGGTGAAAGGCCTTGAATCTTGATTTGGTTTGTCTCTTTTATATATGCATTTTTCCTTCTGCTTATCTTTGTATAGTGCATTGATTAAAAGTTTTGGATTAGTCAGAGAGGGAATAAAACAGTGAAGGAGCAAAACAAAAGATGAAGCTGTCCAGCCACACTTGACAGTGTTTCATAGCAAAGTGGTGAGCTGGGGTTGTGAGTGAGAGGCAACCTAAAGGGAATTATGAATGGAAAAAGAAGATATTAGTGTTTTTCTTCTGCTTCACTTTCCTGGGGGTTGCACATCTGAAAATGACATTTTTCTGAACCATTCAACAATGAGAAAGTATTATTTCTATGGAAAATATTTCCCAGAGAACAATTCTTTCAGAAAGTCGCTTTCTGTGAACCAATGAAGCCACAAGTAAAAATAAGAGAAAACTTTAGGGCTGATGAGGAAGGGACTAACAATCAATCAAACACATGAGATTCGCTCAGGAAAGTACCTGATAATCAAATATGACCAGTTCCAAATCAAGAAACTCATGAATATGCAATTAAAAACTCGGACTAACAAATCAATCAAAGGATCTCAACTGGTCATCGAGAATCTCAACGAGATAATGCAATAAAAATGAAAAAGAATCATAAAGATTTTTGCATAAAAGAGAATGCAATCCAATTGCAATGTGAAACCTAGAGTGAAAAAGGATCTATATTATAAAACAATCGGAACTACTTATTTTGATCCAATTATAGAATAAAATTGAGACACAATTCATAATTTAATTTCCAATATTGACTGAGATTCATCACATTGACAACAATAAAAGAAAAACATAAGCAGCAACTGACCTTATCATCCATGGTAACCTTTAGCTGGAAGCTCCTGCTCTTCCGCTTCATCTTATACAGTCTGTGTCCCAATATAACAAAACCAATCACAGCTGCCGCTACAGAGAAGGACCAAGCAGGGCTAACCTTGAAAACACAGCATCTCAAGAGCTCGAAAGGAACTTTCCACCATATTACCCTCTTCTTGTCTCCCTCATAAACTGATTTCACACATAACTTCTTTTCATCAATAGTAGAACCTTCATTCCCAATTGGATTACCTTCTCCTCCTTCCAACTCCACAGTTGAGCCATTCCCATCATGAAGCTCACCTGAATTCTCCAGCTCAGCCCCCTCTTTCATACAATCACTAAAACCAATGTCAGCCTCCTTTTCAACATCCTCAAACTTAATGGAAACCAAAGCATCTCCACCAGAATCAGACCAGAACTTGCCCAAATCCTTACCTTGATCTTGAGTTTCTCCAAAACCTAATTCCTTTTTCCTATCCAATTCACTAAATTTAGTATCATCAGACTTAAATGTACCCAATTTGTCACTCGTAGCTTCCAATTCTCCAATCCCTTCAAAACGAACCGGGGCTTTCTCATTCTCAACAAAACCCAACTCGTTTTTCACATCGAAATCACTTAATTTGCGACCATCTGACCGATCACTACCCGAATCGGACCAAAAATCGCCAGAATTATTCCTCTCATACCGAGTCTCCAGCTTGGGATCAATCCAACTCGGATTATCTGACTCGGCAGAACCTTCTTCACTCACATCGACTTCTTTTGCATACATACTCTGATTATCAAGAGAAAAGTAATCAGACCTTATCATCCCTTCCGTGTCACCATCGATCTCCTCAAGATTCCTCAACTCGGGCGAGTTAACTACGCAAGAATTTGAGTCAGAGTCCGAGTTGAGCAGCACCTCCCAATCTAGTAGCTCCCCTTCCATGGCTGGGTTTTGATTTTTTTTTTTTCCTTAATTAGAGCGACCAAAGAAAACTTGGATTCTAAAGTTTTTGAGAGTACAAAAGAAAGCATAAAAATACAGAAGAGGATAAAACAAATGCAAAAAGTTGGTTCAAACTCCCAACAGCCTTTAGAGTGTTATCCAGAGCGACACAAACGAAGTTGTGAGTGAGACGTGGCAATTTCGAATAGTAGTTGTTGGGTCAAAACTTGATATGGTTGACTCTAATATTTATTGTCCAGTGGAATTTTAACACGTCAAAAGTGCAGGGTGGGGGTGAGAACTGAGAAGTGGATATTAAATGAGTGAGATCTAAGAGAAAGAAATTAGGAGTCGGCTAGGACAGGCGTGGAAAACACGGATAAGGTAATGGAATAAAAATGAAGAAGAAATAGCTATGAAAAGTTAACCATTAGTTTAATAGGCTACACGCTTAATTTGGTCCCAATATTTATGAAGTTGCTCCAATTAAGACGTAATTTTTCAATTTTAATAAATAAAAATCAAATATATTCAGATATAATAATATAAGATTTGGGTGAATGAAATCTGAAATTTATATTCCATGTGCCGTTAGTTTTGCCACGTAGGTAAATTATTTCCAACTAAGATGCCACGTTGGATGCCAACGTGTAAAAATATATTTTTTAAGGACACCTTAAAAAGTTAAATAAATTTAAGCAAAATTCTTGCCTGATCGAAACTCCTTTTCCATCAATTCTCTCATGTGTTTCTGAGTTATAAGCTGAAAGTCATCTTCAATTTTTGGTCGGCAAGTTTTCAAGCTAAGGGTTTCAAATTAGCATGACATGCTTAGAATGATGAAGTAAACAAAAAGCCATTCACCTTGAAGAAATCAGGTTGTTCCTTAACTTTTAACCAACTTTTCCAACCAAATTTGACAGAGAAAAAACCCAAAAAAGTCACTATGGTGTCCCACTTCAAAGAACAAGAAAAAAAATCATAGAGAAGAAAAAGCTCAGGGAGAAAGTGTAGCTTGGCAAGCAGGCACAAACCCAAATTTTTTTATTAGTTTTTCTACTAAATCACAGACACAAAAGATCCTCTCTAGATCTATTTGATAACTTTCCAACAATACTCAACATTGTGGTTTCTGGAGATGAGAAGCATGAGAATAAAGATCAGTTCCATTTTAAAGGAAAATTAAAAAAAAAAAACTTATATAATTATGAAAATTCATTTTTCTCTCCCCCAATTTCCAAGTAACCAAATAGAAGTTCATATTTCATATATTCTTCCTAAAATACGGGAAAAAACCAGCAAAGAAACAATTACCAAATTGACAAATCACTACAAGAAAATAACATTATTGGTCATGGAATTTTTCGTCACTAATAGTGATATTAGCAACGGAACGCAACAGGCAATTTGTCGCCAATACTCTGACCGGAAGTTCATTGTCAGTGATAGTATTTCGTCACTAAACCCAATGTGTCGCTAATACTGTTATTTTTAGTGACAAAATTTTTTGTCACTAATCCTAAACAACCTATTGCTAAAAGTAAATTTCAACAATTATTTTTTTTTGTTTTGGGAAAGTAAAAAAAGTTTCATTAGTAATGTGTATTAGCGACAAAAAATCCATAGCTAATAGTTTTGTACATTTAATCAGTAAAACGATTAGTGATGGATTTTCTATCACTAATGCTTTTTTAATTTTGTATTTCCATTTCCGTTGCTAAAAATCTTTAACGGTGAAATTTTTTCATCATTAATAATTCCTTTTATAAATTTTAGTAAAAAATTTAGATAAATTTTCATCACTAAGACTTTTAGTGATGAAAATTTCCATTAAAAGGCAAAAAATATTATTAGTTTCCAAATCGAGCCCTATTCTTGAAGACAAAACCTATCATAAAGAATTAATCCTTCCATCTAAAGAATCAATCCTTTGAGGTTTTAGGCCTAATTTCACATTTTCAAACCTATTGAAATCATCCACATATTATACCATAATTCCATATTTAATCCATTTTCATAAAATCTACCAATAGTTCCTATATACACAAATAAGAAATTCATAGTTCCTCCCATCAATACATTATAATCTTCCACAAATACCATAAAATTCATAAACATCTAACAATAAACCCAATGCCATCCAAATAAATCTATTATCCTCAAACAATAGTATCCAATAATAAAAAGTTTATGTTATTGATTCCTACCTCTATATTCATGCTGTTTGAAGGTCTAAACCAAGAGATCCAACTCCAGAAAATGAACCACCACCGAACATTTGATTGAGCCTTAACAAGATCATCTTCATTTTCCTCCTATAATTGAATTATTAAGACTCGTGATTGTAGATATCCATTTGTGTCCAAGGCAATTGGATCGTGTTTCATTATTTTTGTTATTATCATATTAATATATTGTATATTATTATTATTATTATTATTATATTTCTATTATTATTATTATTATCATCATCATTATTTTTATTATTTTTATTTCTTTCTTCCTTTTTTCCTTGATTTTTGGCTAGAATTGCGAAAATGGAAACTGAATCAGCCATATCAAAATCTCATATTTTTAATGATGAATCAAGCTTGAATAACTGACCAAATTCAATTTGGACCAAAAGTCAGAATCTTAAACTAAGGCTCAGGCAGAATCGAATCCCAGAATTCAAGCCTGAATTGATTCTGTTCATTTTTTAAATTTGTGCTAAGGTTGCCTACAAATTGAATAAGAAATCATAGAACAGGGTAAGGATTTTAGAAGGGACACAGTTGATTTGGATAAGTTGAACTAGATAGTACTAGGTTTTTAAGATTCTGGGTTTTGGGATTCTAGGATAGATTTGAAGTTTTTGGGTGTGATTTGAAGATTTTGGGATTAGATCTAGATTTTTAGGATTGGGTTTGGGTTTAGGAAGGATTTTTGAAGGAACCTAGAGAATCATGGGAATTTTTTGGTAGGATTTTCTAGAAACTGACAAGGATTTCCAATTTTCGATGCGATTTCAACTGTGTTTTAGAGAGAAGAGAAAGCATTTGAGAGTCTAGAGAGAGAGCAGAGGCATCTATGATAAAAAACTGAGAATTGCCTTTTATACCGCTCTAAAATGACAGTGTTTTGAAAGCCTTTGATCTGCGAGTGACCTAACAAGGATCCACACGTTGACTTTGGTGCCGACTCGACCCAATCGTAGGTTTTCATTTTCATTTTCAATTTATTTTTTGATTTTATTTTTCTTTTATTTTTATTTTTTTAAGTTTTTATTTTATTTTTAATTTTTTATTTAATTTTACTGGTTTTTTATTTTTTTAAAAAAATCTTTTCTTTCTGGAATACAAAAGAATCAAAATAAAAACAAAAAAAAAATAAAAAACAAACAAAAAAATCTTTTCAAATAAGTTTGAAAAAATAAAAAATAAAAAAATACTTTTCAAATAAGTTTAATAAAAAATAAAAAAAAAATCTTTTTCAAATGAAAATCTTTACAAAATAAATTTATGAATTCTGTCAAATTGCTGGAGAATTTTCATTGATTTAATTTTCTAAATGGGATCCACTAAACTATTGGAAAATTCCATAAATCATTTTTTTCAAAAAAAGCAATGATAATAAAAAAATAAAAAATATAATTTTTATCCTGTAAACTATTAGAAGTTGCTTCAAATTAAATCTTACTAAACTATTAGAAGACTTAATGAATTTTCTCAAAAAAAATAAATTTTTATAAATCTTGTTATAATAAAATCTCATCAAACTATTGAGAGATCTGCTTCAAGGTAAGTTTTACCAAACTATTAGGAGACTTTACTAACTTTTTTGAATAAAAATAAATTAATAAATCTAACAACAGAGCTTCTTCAAAGTGAAATACTAGTATCTATGAATACTCCTAATGTGAGATAATTAACTTAAATTGCTACCAAACTATTAGAACAATTTTAAGATTAATTTTTAATATTAAATATTTTGGTAAAACATAAATATTTTTAAGGCTTGGATAATTTGAAATCAAACTAGTACCATCCTTTCGATGGGCATTGTAGGGGTGTTATAACCTTCCCCACGTATAGCCGCACTCCCAAACCTAAACTCTGGTTTCGTAGATCAGAATCTACTATTTAAAGATATCTAAGTCAATATTAAGACTCTTCTTTAAATAAGACAAATTCAATCAAGTGGCCAATCACACCTAAATAAGAAAGATTGGTGGTGACACTTCTAATCCATGTCTAGTGGTAGATTCATGAATCTATACGTTATGATAGTTTGGTGACTCCATTGAAGATATCAAGAGTCAGGCCAGTAAATAATTTTTTATTATCCAAGCCTTGCTTAATAAATTTTAGATGATTTCTTTCCCATTTCTTTCTTCTTATTATTTATATTTATTAGTTATTCACCTGTATATATCTGTCATTCATTTACATGTACATAACATAAAGTTCTCCACCTGAGCTTTACCCTTATAAGGGAGTGAAGTACCTATGCCCTCGTGAGATTTCATATCTCTACATGGGCTTGCGAAATACTCTCACTCAAATTGAACCTTTTCCACCTGTAACCTATGATGGGTGAGGATTAGGGTGCCTTACTAGTTTGTGATGGACTATGATGTAAGGAATAATTTGAGAACCTTTTAGAGGTAATCCAAACTACATATAGTTAACTTTAAGAGCCTAATCGTATATAGAGCCATGTCCTTCCACCCTTTATAGTTAACCCAAAATTTAGGGTCATGTTGTTATTTTACTTGCTTTGTAGTGTTTATTTTTTTTTTTATTGAGGTGACTAACCAATTTTCTTGTCTTTTTTTTATAAACATACATGCATATTATGCTTACTAACTCTTTTTTATTATGCATGCATTCATCATTGCATTCATTCTTATGCATAATCTGATAGGTCCACAAACATCATAATTAATTTACACCATAATTGTGAGAAATCAAAGTTCAAGAATAGCTCAACACTAGTACTACACTCGAGCTAGAGCCAAGAAGATAGAGCAGGACAATGCAAATCATCTTGAAATGATAGAAAAGGCTCAGGAGATACTTGAAAGAAAATTGAGCAAGATTTTAGAAACCCTGGAAAAAGCAAGTAGAGAAAAATTGATAGAAGAAAATATCTTACAAGAAGCTATTGAATCAATATATCCTCTAGGTTTTGGCCCACATCAGACTCAGACCACCCAAGCTTTCAACTACAACAGGCTACAGTTTCGGGAATGACTTATGCACATAGTCATAAAGATGTCAAGAGTTATAATAATCTTATTTTCACTGAAAAGGTAGCCAAACCTATTCAATTCCCTACTCTGGATGAGACAAAGAAAAAAAAAGTTACAGACGATTGTACCCTCAAAAGACTCTAAGATTGATCACGC